TGAATTGTGCCGAGTTAAAATTAAATATTTATACATATTAGATTGGTAAACATAATAATACCCGCATTATACATACATTTTTTTTCAATTCGCAATAGGTAGGTAGGTACTTAATAATTCGAAACTGTAACGCGTTATTCTATAGAAATTAGTTTTCAAAAGTAATTTCCACTACATTTTCGTTACTTGGAAATAATTCTAATGAAATTACGTAACGCTTTACAAGCAAAGTAACGTCGTTACATTAACGCGTTACTTTCGTTACGTTACTACCTAACGCTGCTAAGTACTGAGTACTTACTACTGTATACTTTATCCTCTATGGCAGGGGTCTCCAAACTTTTTTATTCAAGGGCCACAAAAAAAATCAAATGCTCTTAGCGGGCCAAAAGTTTATTAACACATATAATTTTTAACTTTATGATAATATAGGTACCTATATAAATAATATGTTTACTTTATAATTTTGTATAGAATATTGTTTACTTTACAATATACTTAAATAAAAATAAATAGGTATAAATATAATATAATATAAATACATTTTTTAAATAATTTTAGATTCTGAGTGAAACGATGAATGTATTGATTTTACAATGATGTGTGTTTTTTTTTTTATTTTTTTTTTTTATTTTTTTATTTATTTTTTTTGTGTCTGTGTACACGATAAGTAGTCGAAATAATGCTTCGATTTTCGACTTCAGTATCTTGTTCGATTGGAAAGTGAATATCGTTGGTGCATTGGGGAGGTCAAAATTTAAATTTCCCAGTAGTTTTCAAAAGCGCTGGGAAAAAACAAAAGAAAAATTAAGGAAAAACGGGAATTTTTACGCAAAATCGATTTTTCAGAAAATTGAATTTGGTTTTTGGTGTAACTTTAAAACAAATGACCGTAGGTACATGCAATTTTCACTGGTTGTTTATATTTGCATCTTCTATACACGATAACATTTTCAAAATATTTTGATTTATTTTGAACAGTTTAGGGACATTTTCATTTTTAGTTTTTTTTCTAGAAATATCAATAAAATTTTATTTGTTGGTTGCGAAAGCTTGAAAATTTAATAGAAGGCTCCTAATATATTGTTTCAAAGGCAGATGAAAAATATTAAAAATCCTTAGTCACAATTTTTTTTTATAAGCATTTAAAGTTCAAAAATTGACAAAATATGGAAAAATCACGAAAATTAGCAAATTATTTTGAGTTAAGAATTCGTCAAAATTTTTCTTTTTAAATCTAAGATTTGAAAATCTAATACAAGATTACTCATAAGATTGTCTACCTTTATCAATAAAAAAATCTCTACCGGAAAGTCAAATTAAATTTTTATGAGCGTTTGAAATTCAAATTTTTACAACATTGGATATTCACTCGAATTCTCATGTGGCAATTTCGTTTTTTTGTTGTAATTAAAAAACGAATTACTGTAGATACATGAAAATTTCACTGAATGTTTATATTAGCATTTCCTATACACCATACAATTTTGAAAATATTTTGACTCTTTTTGAGCCGTTTACGGACATTTTCAGTTTTCAATTTTTTTAGTTTTTTTTTTCTATAAATATCAATTAAGTTTTATCTGTTGGGCCAAAAAGTGTAAAAATTTAATACAAGGCTCCTGATATATTGTTACAATATCAGTTGAAAAATATAAAAAATACATAGGCACAATTTTTTTTTATAAGCATTTTAACATCGAATTTTGACAGAATTTTTCAAAATCTCGAAAATTATTAATCATCGTAATTAATAAGTTATAAAATGTTCAGTTTTTATAGCTAAGGATTGAAAATTTAAAACAAGATTCCACGTAAGTAGTTAATTATCTTACCGAAAAATCTAAAAAATATACAATCACAGTTTATTTTTATAGTCATTTTATGTTCAAATTTGGACGAAATTACATATTAAAAAACCTAGTTATTTTGTTGTGATTATATAATATTATTCGTGGGTACCTACTTGAAACTTCTAAAGTGTACTATTATATATATATATTAGTATCAGGGTTTGTTGTTGGTGTATAACGTGTTATAAGTACCTAATGGATATTGTGATAATGTGATATTATGATTAATTTGGAATTTATTATAGGTCAATTTTTTTTTAATACCATAGATATGTATATAATTTGTCTTAACCTAGACTGACATACCGTCTTCGCTCAGAATCGTTTTTCTTATACAATGATATTGTATCATTGAATTCAAATTTAATAACATCAATTATACAGTGACCCACTTGTAACCTACTGTACAGCAGAGCGACATCCACTTACCCACCTTTTTTTATCTATATTTACCTATGCGTCCTATGCGGGCCACGGCCCACGGGCCGGTTAAAACTTGTTCGAGGGCCGTATCCGGCCCGCGGGCCGTAGTTTGGAGACCCCTGCTCTATGGCATTTGTATGAGGTTTCCACTTAGTCACGATGATTTCTTTTACGATTTCTTTTAAAAGTGTCAAGTACCCACGAATAATATTTTTGAACTAGATACAACATAATGACTAAAATTGATATTCTTCGTTTAATATCACACATACATTTGGTTTTAAAAGTAGTTTCTTTATTCCAGACCATAAGCGTGACAATTTGATTCATATACTTGTACCTGAACGCCCGAGTAACCAATGACTGTATACCATTTTTCCATCAACAATTATGTACATATATTACCTACTCAAATATGTATCTATACACTGTTTGAATTTAATTTATTCAAAGAAAATTAATGATCTGACCATTATTATTCTATATAATTAATACAATTAATAGTAGGGATGTCAATAGTCAATAATAATGGGTAGGTACCTATAATACAGAATGCTTGGTCTTGGTACTTGGTGTCTGTGTAGTATACTAGTATCGCAGATTATATAAAAACAGATGGTGCACTCTCTATTTAGCCCATGCAATTCTCCAAAATGTGAAGAAATAAAACCACAGAACAATACCAGGATACCAGGATAAAACCTACCTCAAATCAGTGTCACCACGAATAGGAAAATAAGGCTTTATGAGAAATTATTGTTTATTAGCTATGTATCACTGACTTTTTTGACGCCGTTGAGCCGCTGTACTCGCGAATTCTTGTTCTTTTTTTGCTGCTCAACGTACGCCGAGTCTGTGAAACTTTTTATTTAGTTCGAAAGGAAAACCTATTCACAGTCGATTTTTGCACCCATCTGTGTGTGGTTTTTCATTTGAACGATGAAGACTTCTAAAAGTATTGCATGCCGAAAATGTGGTGTGAAATACTGCACAAATAAAAGTTTGGTACATTCAAATGTGCTGAGTTGCTTAGGACACAGAAAGGTAAGAATATTTAAATTGATTTCTCTTTTCTTTCATTTTAGAATATATCATAGCAACTATTTTATACTGCTATACTTTTTATGGTTCAAGGAGTGCAATGTGGATTGAAAATTGTATTCCAGAAGCCAGAACTTGCTGACAAAAACATTCAGGTTAAAGATGTTCGTATATGTCAAAGACATTTTGAAAACAAAATTTTTTTGAATGTTCTTACTAAAATCCTACTTATCGGTTACAGTGTAATACAAAGACATATTTTTTTATCATTATGTAATATTTCAAAAATATACCTTTTTAAAACTCTATCTATTAGATAATTTAGACTCTATAGAATCTTTTTTAAATCATTGTCAACAATTTTTATCTCCAAACTTAATTTTAATCATTAAATCACATTTAATGCAGGTAGAAGGAAAAAAAGGGGGTTACAGATATGACCATGAAATGAAACAATTTGCATTAACTATTTATTTTTTGGGTCCAAAGGTTTTTAATTTTTTCTCTTTTTTCTACCAACAATCGGAACTCTCCAACGTACAACTTCGATTTGAAATTCTACCGGGTCTTAATGATTTTTTATTTAATTTTATTAATTTTAAAACTAGAAATTATACCCCTGAGGCATTACAATGTATACTTTGTGCAGATGAAATGTCTTTAAAAACTAACTTATATTATTTAATTAAAAAAGATGAAATAATGGGATTTAATGTAACTATAATAATCGTAAGACTTATGAACCTGCAGCAAAGTATGCACTTGTATTAATGCTTAGCTGGTTTTATATAATCTGTGGTAGCATGAAATTATCTGGTATCTGAAAATGTTTGTTTTATTAATTTTTGAAAAACACGATTATCAATTAATTGTATTGAGTTTATTTAGCATAATATTTCGGAATTTTGGGGCAAATATTTAAATTTTCATTCATGCGTGTATATTTACGGTATTCAGCGCATTCATTTCTTAGTCCAGAATCCTGTTTAAAAATAATATAAATAATACATTTTTTCAATAAAGCATGATTTGTATTTTAATATTTTAATATTAATGAATATTTAATTTGATTATAATACTACATTGTTTAAATGATGTATTATATTTTACTGCAATATTAATAGCTCCACACGAAGTGAAAATTATATTGTTTCAAGTGGTACCTATAATAGCAGAGTAGTGTTGTGAAACTATGTTTTCAAGATAATTTAGGTATACAATTGTTTGCTCCGAAACAGGTTGTAATTATTTCCAAATAGAAATTAAGAAATCCTACTACAAGTTATAATATAGGTGGTAACTGGTAAGTTAAAATATAAATTATTGATAAAACAATATTTTGACTTCAAACACTTTTTTATTTTTATATTAGTATATAAATCGTAGAGCATCATTATCATTATGTATAATTTTCACGTGAAATCAATTTTACGCGATTTTCTCGGGACCCTATAATATTGTAACTGGCCACACAATGTCTCGTATGCAAGAGATATATTATGATCATCGGTGTCGAGACGACGGTGTTTCGTTCCTATGGGAAACGAGTGCATATTATAATAATATTATAGTTCAGGTTTCAGAAAGTTCACAAATTGTCGAATACGTGTGAAACCGTAATAATAATAATATAATATTATATATATAATATTCTACAATACATATTACTCTGTCGGTAGAAAAATGTCGGACGGAGACGTGGATACAAGCAGCAGTGGCGACGATACGATCAAGTCGAATATGGTCAGCAAACTTCAGACTTCATCAGCATTTTCATCGGGGCTGTTGTCATGTACATCCCTAACGTCGTCTGGCCCGATGATGCAGGATTTCCTCGACTATGATCCACCAAGCCACACTTCAGATGACACGTAAGGCCCCACGTCATATCGTTTAAGGCCCCAAGTCATATCGTTTTGTAACCACGGCGCATATTGTTAATAATACGCACTGTGGTTGTAAAATGTTATTAAAATTTAATAAAATAAACAGTACCTATGGGACTGTCGATATAAACGTCTTAAGCACTGTGTCGGTCAATCATGAGATTTGGCCCTCGGCCCAATCATTTCCAAATACCTTTAACAAAAATATGAAAATTCGTTCCATTGAATTTTGCACGGCAATGACTATTACGATAGCTTTAACTTTCTATATAAAATCAAACTTTGTATGCAAAGACTCAGGAATTTAAAGTTTTGTCGTGGTAAGTTAAAAAAAAAGTGTAAACGCATCATGTATTCCTGGGCATAATCGTAACGATTATTCAGGCGAGGGTAAATACAGAGTATTGCATTATCCTATACTGTTTACGTAGTCATACCCAATAAAGTTAGAAATTTTTATATTTTTTAATTGTTACCTTCGCCTATTGAAGTTGGACCTCGATTTTAAAAAAATACTTGGTTTACTTGGGTACTGACTATACTTTCACTGCATTGTTTCACGCACAGTGGCGGCGCCAGATATATTTTATTGGGTGGATGACATAGGGGCAAATTTTTTTCTGGTGGGGAATTTATTACCCACTAATTTGCTTATATTATATATTCAGAAAGTATTGCTAAAATGTTTTGGGTATAAAATGTTATATTTCTAAATAATCAAAAAAAAAAAAATTAAATAATTACCTATATAATAAAATGTCTTTATTTACTTACATATTTTTAACATAACGGAAAATCCAAAGTAGGTATAATGTACAACCTAATGTGTTATAATATGCTAAATATTATCATATTTTATGTTCATTACAATTAAACAAATACAGTCACAGAGAGGGATTTTTAAGTATCTAAATAGCAACATATTGGTACCTATTAAAATAAAAATCAATAAATGCAATTTATTACGTTACCATTATTTATTTTATTTTATTATTACCTATTATGATTATATCTAAATATCATTTGTATTAAATAAATATAAATAATTACAAATTATTAGGATAGTATTATATTATTATATATTGGGGAACGAGGTGGCCGAGCGGTCCAACGCAGCCGATCCGGGTTCGATCCTTGGTCACCGGGCGGCATTTTTCTTCTGGTAAGTGTCCGGAGAATAAGTGCCGCCATCAAAGGAGGGGAAAAATCAAATGTTGGGTGGTACTTGCGTCTTGCCCACCCTGGCCCAATGCGTATTATTATTAGTATAATTACATATTATACATTTTTTACCCTCCTAACTTTTCGGTGTTATTTTTTCAAAATGTGTTGTCTTTTTCCTCAGGTACTATTCGTCGTTCACATATTTCGTTAGCCGTTCTATTGGACTCGGGTTCTTGTGCCTACCATACGCGTTTAAGCAGGTGGGCGTGATCACCGGCTTGGCGTTGTGCTCTATCGCCGGATTGATGTTTACCCACACATTTACTACCTTGGTGAGTACACAAATGTTTTCACTAGAACTACCACGGAAAGTTGCATTTGTTAAGATGCTATTTTACTGATTTTAGTCAACCTATTATTTATACTTATTATAAACACGCGGGAAGATTTTCAGTCATTTTTTAAAACCATCATCTCCAATGTTTGTATAGGCATTTATACTACACATACATGACCGTTATATATAAATATATTATATAAATACGACTGCATAGATCGAATTTTTCAGACGGTTTTCTTAAGAAGCCGAATAATGCCTTAAAAATTATATATAGGTCTTATAAGGGATGATAGATCTTCTGTCGAAAGTCAAAATGTCTGATTTGAAATGTGTTTTATAGTGCAGTTTAAGGTATGAACTATATAAAATACACAGAGTGCCGTCAATGCCGTATCAGAACTTTATCGAGTACAGCTTGGCATGTGGCCCGAGAGTAATCGGCAAATGGTTTTCAACGTTTTTAAGGTAAACAATATAATATTATAATGTACGCAGTTAAAATCGATACTCGAACGTCTATAAGTCGAATTTTCGATAACTCAAATTTGTTTTGACCTATTCGAGTTATCGAGGTTTCACTGTATATTATAATTTATAATAATGATATTTGTATTATTCACACGCTGAAAGTGATGTATGCGTTGATTGATAAACAGTGTTGGGAATTATCTAGATAAATTATTTCTTTAATTATCTTATCTAGATAAAAATAATTAAATCATCTAATTATCTCATCTAGATAAATGTTATGGTTATCTGTGGTAATTTATCTAGATAAATAATATAATAATAAGAATATTTTTAAATACTGAAATAGCCAATAATTTACGAGAATCGAGTAGTGATTCCAAATTCCAGTATTATTATAGTTAAAAAAAAGAATTCTTACTCAAATATTGTCAGTTTTATTTTGTTATTTTATTTTTATTCAACTTGTATTAAAAATTAAAATTGTATATTATTTTAGTTGAGGAATGATATTAAGGATTTATTAATTAATAAATATTACCTAATTAGTAATTTCTAATTAATTACATTATTTATAATATAATATAAAAACAAATTATCTATTTTTTATCTAGATAAAAAAAAATGATATTATATTTTATCTTATCTAGATAAATTTTGAATGAATTATCTGTTATCTTATCCAGATGATTTTTGGTTATCTTTTCCCCACACTGTAATGATAAACAGTTTGTAGCATAAATATATTATGTAAAACGTCACACAAACAACGAACGAGACGCATATTATACATATTATTATTGTTATATTATATTATTATTATATAAATAGGATTTTTACGAACGGTCCTGTTGTGTTTACACGTTTTATACATTATTTTGTTTATGCATTGAAAGGTTTACGTTTATCGCCACGAACCTGACGTTGAATTTTGGGAAGAGTTGTCTGTACACGAAATTCGCGTCGTTGGCAATTTACGAGGTACCTATATATACGTAATACTATTTGTGTCTATATTGTTACCGTAAATGTCATGAATTCAGACATTTTATACTATAATGGCTAGTCAAATGATAATACTATAATGCCCCTGGGTACGTTAGTCATTATCTATTGCAGGTAACACATAATGTTATATATATTTAAAACTTTGACTTGATAAGTTAGACAACGCTGTACATGTCATGCATACAAAGTTTTTCTGATAATAATATAGAGTATCAAGTCTTTAATATTAGGTTTTATAAACTTAGGTTTTAGGTTCATTTACGGTTGGAGACAATATCTATAGTGTTATAACTTATGGGATCTCTATAGGCAGCGCCGGCGGAAGGGCAGGGCAGAAGGGGCATCTGCCCAGGGCCCCGCCATTTTGGGGCCCCGCGCCTGCATGTATGGTATTTGATAATTTGTAAGACCACAATTTTGTTTTTCAATTTAAAAATACAAGTCTCGGCTGGCCGTCTGCAGTTGCAGCTTGTGGGTTTTTCATATAATAAACGAGTGAGAGTAAAAATAAATTAGGTATTAAAAAAAAACCGACGTGTTAGTAGAAGTTAATACAATAAGCAAAAATCTTCAGAGCCCGAACATGGATTTAGATATTTCAGCTATTATATTAAATGGGCTACTCTCATTTTTAAATGACTATAGAAATACTGGATTTAAATCTGCAAAAACAACTGCTAAAGATTTGGCAGAGGCTAAAGGAGTTTCTGCTGATTTTAAAAAAATCCGTATACGAAATAAAAAAAAAACGTTTTCGTATGAAACTAAGATGAACCATCTAAAAATGAGGAAACTATTTTTTATCAAGATTATTTTTTAACTATTGTTGATCAAGCTATCGTTTCTATGAATATGAGATTTTCACAGCTTGAATCGTTTAATAATAACTTTGGTTTTTTATATCGGATTAGCAAAATAAAATTCATGGACAAAGAAGAGTTAAGAAAATGTTGCCATGATCTACAAAACGGTCTAACTGATGGTGAATTAAAAGATATAGATGGTTATGAACTGTATGAAGAATTACTTATTTTTTGTACTATAATTTCTGAAGAAACGACAGCTTTTCAAGCTCTTTCAATACTAAAAAAATGTTGTGGTTCTTTTCCAAATATTTCGATAGCACTCCGAATAATACTCTCAATTCCTGTAACATCAGCTGGTGCGGAAAGGAGTTTTTCCAAATTGAAAATAATTAAAAACTATTTAAGGAGTACTTTATCACAGTGTAAACTTACAAGCTTAGCTACTCTATCGATTGAACAACAAATTACCGACTCTTTAGATTTTAGTGAGCTGATTGCAATTTTTGCTGCAGCCAAAGCTAGAAAAAAACAATTTTGAAATTTTAAAATCTTGAGTTTTTTTTTAATTTTTGTGTAAAACTTGTATTTAGTGTACTTTAGTGCAGTTCACATAAACATTTAACTTGTACATATTTTATTTTTATATGAAAAATGTATCCAATAAATTAGGTGTATAAGCAAAATAATATTTGTAGATTTATGTTTTAACTGTTTTAAGAAATAAATACATATTTACAAGTGAACGTTTTATACAATATTTAAATGAGTACATGAAAAAAAATATGTATAGGTAAGTTATGTAAAACTGATAAAATTTTCATACAAGTACTGAAGCGTACCTATAAGTAATAGGACTTGCGAAAATTTTTTTTTTTACATTACATTAGGCTAGGGTCCATCAAAATAATCTGCCCCGGGCCCCGCAAAACCTCCCGCCGGCGCTGTCTATAGGATTCCAACACAGCCACTGCAAAATAAAATAAAGCGGATTTTCGCACTCTAAAATTACATATTATCATTAATTTACAGTTTATTGATAAATTATGTCGAAATAAATTTGAATATAATAATAATTATATAAATTGTTCTGAAATTATAGTAGTTACCTAATACATATTTTCTAGTATACAGTTAATTATCTGTAAATTAAAATTTATTATGCATCATGAATTATTTTTTGCTAAATGTAACTATAATTATTTATTAGTTATTACAGCCCTATTAATTTTGGTCACTTTGGTCATAGTCAATAATAATGATAATGACTGATCAATCCCGAACATTATTTAATTTTTTACTGAAGTGCTTACAGTGGCGTATATAGAAATCATTTTTGGGGTGGGCTATAGTAGACAGAAACTAGCAAGTGATCTATTACTTAGATGTTACAGTCTACTATATATTTAACAGTTTCTATAAATATATTCGTATTTGTTATTTTTCAACAGGCTATGAAGTATTATAACTTATAATAGTACCTAATAAAATATATTGTTGTTCTATTTAAAAATACTGTAATTTCGGGTGGGGGGTTGCTGCAGCCCACTGTGCCCACCCCCTATATACGCCACTAAGTGCTTATGATATGAAATTGTCTGCGTTAGTGTTAGATATTCACTATACAATTATTAACCAATATAATATCAATACCTATGAAAAATAATCGACTAGACTAGCCATTTTTATTTAATGTCTGAAAATCATAATTTAGGATAACATATATAGGATGCAACAGAAAGACTTGACAAAAAAAAAAAATTAGTTAAACAAAAATTATGAAAATTATATGGATGATAATTTAAGAAATATGCTGCTTATGATAGAAAATTCCTAAAAAAGAATATTTTGAAAAAAGTTATGAAAACTCACATTTCCACACAGCTACGGCTTGGAGAAGGCTACAAACCCTAGTTTTATTTACTATGTTATCCACTCTATGTAATACACTAAATAGTAAATAATAATACTGTATTGCTATTGATAATCAATAAATAATATTATTATTATTATTACGTTTCAAATTAACTTGCTCCAAAATAATATTAATATTTTTAAAAACTGTAAAAAATAAACCACTCTATTTAAACTAACGTTTTTACCATCAAAATATATCCAACGATTAAATTTACAAAAAAAAAAAAAAAATCAAAAATTAAGTTAAGTTATTTCATTTGGTCAGGTCTTTCTGTTACACTCTGTATAATATAATATAACATAATATAACATAATAGTTCATACCATGACTAACACTTAAATGTTACGAAAAACCAAAATAACCGGACACGTCGCTTTTATATGTCTACCCCAGTTGCTCACCGAGATGGGATTTTCGGTGACTCATTTTAATGTTTCTCTGAGCTTCGACGTCATGTGCCTGGTGTTTTTGTTATTGCCAAATGGCAGCTATTTGGCACCGTTGCACTTCCTCAGCAATATCGCGTGTACCGCTTTGCTGAGCATTATATTCTACAATATATTCACGTCGGACATGAACATGGACAGCGAGACGCTAATGTGTGGCAACTTGACGGACGTCTTTCAATTCTTTGGAATACTTTTGTTCACGTTCATACCCATAGTTCAGGTAAATAATATATTATATTAGCAAACATTTACTCATTAGTTATTATCAGGGCTAGGACTTGTATGCAATAAAAAATGGTAAAAATATGCATTTTATTTACCAAAGTATGCAAAAATATGCATTGAAATTCTTAAAAGATAAACACAAAAATAAATTTATTTGTTGAAATACATCAGTGATTGGCTACATTCACATTCACTACGTGTGTGACATGCTACGAACACATATTTTTTCAAACTTTCGAAAATGATTGTCAAACTATTCAATCTTTTATCGCATACCTACCTATTGTGCCATGGGATTGTATTTATAAAAATAAAATTTATGTTTGTCAAAATACCAAGTTTTATAAAATATACTATAAAACATGCATTTTTCGCATTCTTATAATCTAAATATGCAATAATATTCATTTTATTCAATAGAGGTTGATCCATTTAACATAAGACACTTTATCATCTACTTTTGTATAATAAATGTCTTACGTTAAATGGATCAACCTGTATATGCAATAATATACATTTCATCCAAAATATGCAAAATAAAAATACCATCATTTATCTTATCATGAGGTGATTCGTGGACATTACTGACAAAACAAAT